TTATTTTTTAATATTAAAAGTAAGAAAATTAACTAAATCAAATTATTTTTGACATATTATTAATTTTTTTGTTATTTTTAAAGTTTCAAACAAATAAAATTGAACTATTTATTAAATAATTATAATCGTTCTCTTCTGATTTAAAACAACCTGGCAACTATGGTTCGTAATTACGAATGGCTTGGGTTAAACCACGCCCAATTAAAGTTTGTTTATTTTTCTCTGATCAGAATATAATTTGTCATCCTTGTCTCCAGCCTTACTTACTTGATTCTATACAGTCTGTATAATATTATATTGTCATGAATTCGTAAATATATTTTGTCGTTAACTATTATAAAATGCAGTTGTCGGCGTTTTCTTAAAGGACTAAATTTTTTTTAAACCTAAATTATATTAGGTTAAGTTATCATTAGTTAATTTTGCACCAACAAATATGCGTACCGAATTAGATCCTTTGGCAAAACATTCACATATAAAAACACAATAATTTACTATGATCACTTAGATAAAATACACACACTAACGTAACTATATAAGCATATAGGCGTTGAGTTTCTTAATCAATGCTATAAGGAGTAATAAATCGAAATCGAGTACTTAACCCAAAGTTTTTTAGTTTTTATTTGCAACGCAAAACACAAATACCGTGCACGATTTAGCTGTGCAATTGAAACTTTGCGAACAAAATTTGTCGTGTATGACTTCAGCCTTCCTCTCTTTTGTGAGAAAACTACTTATTTATTTAAAAATGATGTGCAGTTCTTATGCTTCACATGTATTGTTTAATAATGCAGTTTATCGTATATTACCCTACATTGAAATTTAAGTAGCTACATAAAATGGTAGGGATTAAACTAAATAATGCTCACTTAATTAACTAAATAGAGTAATATAAATAAATACGTGATGTTCAACTCAAAATAAAGAAATAAACCAATTTTATTCAAAATTTATAGGGTCTTATCCACCATAAATTCTGTTAAATATTCGAGTGGAGCGCAATTCGTTTGATTACAAATAAATCGGCAGTATGCATCGAACGTAAGTGTAATTGAAATAATCTAAATCTGAATAAAAGGAGCTACCAGCGGAGAAATGGAGGTGGAGGAAGCATAATAGCGAACGGTGAGGAACAACTGGATGCAAAGCCTGATTTACGTTTTTCCTGCGACAGATTTTAATGTTATTTCGAGTCACAAATTGTTTAAATTGCGTCGTGACTCAGGGACGCGACACTAACTGGCTCTCATTAGACTGAGCCCGGATTCACCTTATATTTATTCATATTATTGAAATGAATCTGGAGATCCTGGACCTAAACTTATCCGATAAAATGCCTGCACCAAGCACAATGGGGCTAACATATCTCCACACAACTAATGATATCACTTGAAAAATTATTGCTAAATTAGTTTAAAAATTGAAAGTTAATAAAATTAACATTTTGGTTTATAAAAATAACTTGTTTGACATTATAATAACATTATAATAATTACTATATATTATAATATTCACTATGAAACATTTCTATAAAAGTGGATTTTGCTTCATAGTGTAATTTACTCAAAAGTCTCTCTAGTTACCGAACTCATAAAGCCGTATTTTTTATAAAGCATTATAATCTGACGCCCTTCGGCAATATTTCCTATCGTTTGAATTATTCACCCCATTTGATTCCACATTTAACTCTTTTACTTGATTTAATTATCATATTCCCTTCAGGATCAATTTATACTCAAGGCACAAAATGAATATTGTAAAGGACCTAAAAAGCTTCCAGACTAAGTTGATAATTCTTTTATTGCACCAGCATTAAAAATATACGGTTTTCTATTCTGTGGAATCTAAATAAGTAGAATCAAAAAATGGAAATTTAAGTGTTAACAGAAGACGAGAACATCTTAATTTTTCACCCTCTGTGTAATCTGATACAATACAATGAATAAAAACATTTTTATGTTTCCTAAGAAATTGCCGTATTGATCAAATTAACAATATACCAAAATCAAAATTTGAAGAAAAAATATCGTGTATTCTTCGCCTTATTGGGACTTGGTTCATTATACATTTTAGCCCTATCTACCTAAAAAATAACTAAATATAATTCTAATGTTACTCTCAGCAGTAAAGTTTCGCTCAAAAGAGTCTCTTATTTTTAAGTTTTAATGTCGTAGCGATAGCAGTGCAGTGTTACAAACACGTGACGAAGAAGACATTTTTCACAATAAAAAAATCTATTTTTTAAGTGAAACAATAAATTCACATAAAACATTGCAATAATTAAAGGAAAAGAAATTGGTTTACCTTATATAAATAAATGTAAAACAGCAAATACTTAAAAAGTAAATGACGTGACTAAAAATAACCTTCAAAAACACACGCTGCTTGTTTGTAGCGCGCAAAATAACAATAGCGATACCATTGCATGCAGGGGCGCCATCTCGTGCCACAGTTATAAACTACATGGGTTCTTTTATATGTAATGCTAAACTCCAATGGTTTTTTTTTAACAAAGATGTTTTTATTAAGGCGGCTTTTGACAAAGTAGACATTAAATATCAGGACAAGGTTTGGTCACGCTTAAAAAATTATTCACAGACATTTTATTATATTCTTTATTAGTACGGGGGAGCTACTTATTTGTTATATCATTATAGTTTTAGAATTCTGTTTCATACAAAACCTTAATTAAGGCATTTAAAATATTTTTAAATTTAATTGAATTATTTTCTATTAATTTTTGTTATTTTCTTATTTGGGTGAATCTCACGAAATGTCCCCCGATGGTGTTACTATATTTAATAAAACTAAATGAGTTTGACCTACACTTTTATTGTGTTTCGATCTATCAGTAGATATTACAGCTCAGGTTCCAGATTTTTAACCGCAATTAATTATTTTTTACAATGTTTTAAAAGTCCAAAACCTATCCTCCGTGACTGTTACTCTTTCTAGGTTAACCTATATGTTTTCATATATTTGAGGTTGTAAAAACATACTAAATATATCGGTTCACTAAGTAAATTAAACACATCCAAAGCAATCGAATCAAATATAAAAAATTTTTTTATTAAAAATTAAAAGAAATTTGTATAACCATGTAGGTGTTTTAATCATTTTAAATAAGCAAAAACCTCTGTTTACATTATATATAGAATCTATATTATAGATGCATGTGATTCCTGAAGTTCATTTATATGCAGATGAGAGTGTTGCTGTTTTAGAATTCAAGAGTTTAAGTTCATTAATTTGCTATTTAAAAACCTATCCACCGTGAAGTGTAATAATCTCAGTAAGTATATTTTTTTTATAAATATTTTATGTACATTTGTATTTTTAAAAAATATTAAGGTGACAAAATATACAAAAACTTATTTTAAATATACAAAGGGATGTTTAAAAAAAACGTACGAAATCCTAACCTCCGTGAAGCTATCTTCCGTGAAGCTCTAATATTCAAAATGTATGATTTCTTAACATTCTTATGTTATGTTATTACTAGACCTGGTGGCTTTCCAAAAGCCCCATTCTAGACTAACAGTGAAACAACCAAAAATAAAAAATAATCATTTTCACTTGGGGGACATCTCAATATATTCACCTATTTATGAATCTAGTTTTTAATTAGCTGTCTATATTTATTATTTTTTAATAGGAAATGTTAAGGAAAATTGACTAACAATATTAATAATAATAATTTATTAATAACAGAATTGGTAAATATGTTAGGTCAAAAAGATAAATTAAATGTATATGTACTAAACACTACTTTAAAAAACAATAGAGACAATCTTCTCCTTAAATTCTTCTACGGTTCTATGGCATGCAGACTGCAAAAAATATTTTATGCTTTTTTTAAATTCATAAAAGGGTTTTTCTACTTCCACCTTTAAAACGCCCTTTATCGTACATGTTTCCATGACACTAAGTAACCTTTTAAATACACATTGACAAGTTGTGGCTTTACGGCGCTTTAGTCACGGGCTGAAGTTAGCAACAGGTTTTTAGTCACGGGCTGAAGTTAGTTTTAAGTCAGTTGACAGTTGTCAAATGTCATACAATCGTTAAAATAAATTGCCTTTCTTGTAAAATAATACTAAATGTGAAAATTATTTTATTATCTCAATATAAAATATAAAATACAAAAATATTAAATAGTTTCTCAACGCAAATATTTAAAAAGTTTATATGAACATGAACACTTAAATTCGGGCACGGACTCTACTGTAAAGTCCTCATAAAACATTTCCTTTACTTTCACTGTGAAAAACTGTCAATTTTCAAGATACATTTCGATTTATACCTAATTGTGTTTATAAAATGTAAAAATGTGACATTTGACAGTTTCCCCTATTGTTTCATAGATGGCGCTCTATACAAATTTTTGATTTAAATCATTTTAAGATAATAATAAGTATTTGTCGTGGAAAAAGTATAGGATGCACCTCGTTTATAAACTTTTCTATACACTCATTAACTTAAGCACTCGCTCGCAAGCTCGCTCGTGCCTAAATTAAATTCGTGTATAAAATGGCGTTTATCAAACTTGATACATAATATACTATTTTCTCTTAGACCAGTTGGCAAATTATTATAGAGGCGAATTCCCACGAAGTATAGAAACTTTACATATTTCGCATACCAATGCATTTCAATGAGGATTTTATCCTTAGGGCAGAGCCTTAATAGTATAATGACCCACCTATGTAGAGACAAGATTTAATATTGATTTTTTAATTGTGGAGCTGGCACTGAAATAATATAATCATAATATGGGTCAGTTTGTAAAAATTCATATTTTAAATTTAGTAGAAATAATTATTTTCAAGATTGGATAATAACAGGATGTTTTCGGAATCAATGAAAAGATGCCAGTCAGCAATGGCCCGCTCCCGTTGATGTGGGGGTGGAGGTGTAATTAGGCAATCGGAGAGATCGAGAGGAAACATCACTTCCCATCTAGACCGGATCAGTCTCGGTCTTTTAATTAACATTCCTCACCTAACCTGCTCGTAAGGCGTTAGTTGCAAATTAAAGGCAATAACTGCCAGAACGAACGACGGCGAGATGTGCAGTCTTCGTTTTTGTTTGCTAATTGTTGAATTAATTTCTTGTCCCTTCATCAATTCGACTAGAAAGTTGAGGACGAAAGACGATAACACTTAAAATGCTAATATTATCCTGGAATTCGATGATAAAATGGATGCGTTTGCTGGAACTGGAACGCACGCTTGAATTGTAATTATTTCATTAGCCGATTGGAATTTGGTTTTTAAAGATTTTACGGAGGAGCAAAACTTCTGAAATTAATGCGCGCTGAAAATTCAGTGGGAGGACGTTAGGCAATGCGCATTTCGGGAAATAAATCACGAAACAATAACCCTAAAAACGAATGGTCCAACAGGAGTGTATGCGGGCGGAAAAGTTTGAATAATAAGCTCGAAGGGGTTATTGGTATCAACAATCGCTCAGATTTTCGTCTTTGTTCGCATCCGGTGGCCATTCGTCATCCGTGGATTGTTTCAGGCGGTGCAAATGAGTCTCCGGGAACAAATCACTTTTAATTGCATCAATGGGTCCCGAAATCTCACAGTTTTACTTACTCTCTTCGCTGCTAAATCAAATTTATGGATAAACTTAATTTCCCTCCTTAGACTTCATAGTGTTTAATTCTAACCCATTATTTGTTTTATTGCCCTCGAACTAAATAAGCTTCGGTTTGAATTACTTTCACAACTCCGAAAGCGGAACATGTTAAATTATCGCAGATATTAACTGACGACTTTTAAAAAATATTATGATATACGCCCTGATTTTCAGTTCTACTACACAGTTAAAAATATTTGTTAATTTTAACTAAATAACATAACTTTATGTTAAGTTTACAACCATCTGTTTTAAAAATGTATTTTTGTAATTATAACAAGCATTTTGTAGATTTAATAATAAAATTCTATATCAATAATTAAGATAAAATAATTTATAAGTAATAACATACAAATAGTATTTTTCCAGGTCAAATAAAATAAATATAAAATAGTAACAGAAAAACATTCCGGCTTAAAATTCGACTTGAAGTACTCCTCATATGAGAAAAAGGCGTTCAGAATAAGGTAGTTCTTGATTTGTTTTTTGTATTGATTGATGTTTGGAGCTTTAATTCTAGTTGGTACACAGTTATAGAACTTTATTGCTAAATATCTTGAACCATTTCTGGATCTATCAAGCCGGCAAATGTCTGGCACAAGATTTTGTGTAACGTGCAACAAACACTGCTTAATGTAAGCAAAAGGTAAAGTTAAAATCTTTATATCTTTAAAGTAATTTCGACAGTCCTTTCTATAGCAAAGCCCAAAGATAATGCGTATGCATTTTCTTTGTTGCCCAAATGCCTTGTTAATGTGACAAGAGTGACTCCAGGAGAGAATAGCATAGGTTAAATGAGAATGGAAGTTGCTGTGGTATGCTGCTAGGAGAGTTTCTTTGGAAGTAACCTGTACAAGATTCCTAAACATGAAAAGTTGACGGGAAAGTTTTTTTGAAAGATTGGCAAGGTGTTGATTCCAGGTTAATCCTGCATCTTGAACTCTAAGAAACTTGGCTTCTATTCTATTTAAGGATAAACGATTAGCTAGAAACCTTCGAAATAATTTCTTTTCCGAAGTTTGGTAATCAAGTTTTTCAATTTCTGAAGGGTGATAGCTTATGTAAAAGGTTATATCGTCAGCAAATAAGACAGTATTGACTCCTTCACCCTGAGAGTACGCCAGGTCATTGATATAAATTAGGAAAAGGGTGGGGCCTAAAACTGACCCTTGAGGTACACCATACTTCAAAGATTGCTTTTTTGAATCACATTGGTTAAAATTAACATATTGATCACGATCTGAGAGATATGAATCAAGTAGCTGAACAGCGTCACCTTGAAAGTTGTAAAATGGTAGTTTTTTTTTAAAGAATGCTATGTAAGATACAATCAGCTTTGTTAGGTTTAAAAAGGATGCAAAAGTATCAAAATTTTTTTCAAACCCTTCAGAAATATTACTAGTAAACATTGTTGTAGACCCAGTAACAAAAGTAGTTGTTGGAAATTGGGAAATTAAAGTAAAAGTTTTTTTATAATAATTGTATATTATTCAATTTCCTAAACAAATTAACACATAGGTACCTACTTAAATGAACATACAAACAATTAAATAACAAACCATTCTGAAATCATCAAATAATAAAGAAATTTAACTTTAACCCACTTCACTGTATTTTAGTTTGAAAACCAGTGATGACATCTTTTTTCGGATACTTCGCACACTTGTTAAATAGGTATGAAGAATCCGCATAACAATAATAACAAATTTTTGGTTTTTATATATTAAACACTCTGAACAGTTACCAACACGTTACGAATTAGAATAAAGTAAGCAGAAACATAAGTTGCAGACGCTGAAGTCAGTTGAACTTCTTGATGCGTATTGTCAGTGGGAAATGTTTTGATTGACTGCCTGGAATTACGTGTACTTTTTTAAATAATTAAATTAATTTAACATTAACAAAAATGCATATTACCCAGTGGCGGCTGGTGGATTTTGGGCACACCCATATCTCAGTTATTAGACATGGGACCCACATCAAACTTATATGAGTTTATAATGACATTGTATAGACAGGTTCTGCGCGAGCAGAATTTAAATTAAAGTTTGCGAAAAAAAGTTAGTTTTTAAGTGCAACCCCCAGCCTCCTGCCCCTCCAAATTAAGATAATTCAAATTAAAGTGGTACAATATTTAATTCACTGAAATTTATCGACAAATTTCAAATTTTATTAAAAAAATTCAAGAATTGCAGGTTTTATACCATTTATAATTTTTATTATTTCTTTTACTAAATTTAAAAAAATTTGAAATGGTATAAAATCTGTTATACTTGAATTTTTTTAATAAAATTTGAAATTTTTCGATAAACTTCAGTGAATTAAATATTGTACCACTTTAATTTAAATTATCTTAATTTGATGTGGGTCCCATGTCTAATAACTGAGATATGGGTGTGCCAAAATCCACCAGCCGCCACTGATATTACCTTAACAAAACTTTCGGTAAAATATTTTTCTTTGTTAATATAATTACAAACCCTGGGTTTCTATAAACAAATATGTTAAAATTTTACAAAATAAAATTAACAAACTACAAACTAATGTTAACAAATCCAATTTTTTGAATTTCCAACAATTACTTTTGTAACTAGGTCTACAAAAGGTTTGCAAAAATAAAGTCCTTTTTGAAAATTACAAGAATTATGGTTAAATTAATGACAGGATTTTGTTAGTAAATCTACAAAATGTTTGTTATAATTACAAACAGAAAACAGTTTGTTGTAAACTTAACATAAAGTTATGTGGACCTGGATTTACATAAAATCTGGTTAATATTTGTTTAAAATTAACAAATATTTTTTTACTGTTTAGTAAATTATAATATCTTGTTTGACAAATAACATAAAGATAAATATTTAAATAAAGCAATTCCTGTGTATGTGCCTCTGACAATGAAAATTAATAGGTAAGTCGGGTACCTACGTTTAGACGCAGGTAATTCCGTTTGTTGTCTGACCGCAGCTGTCCGTTTTTCATCCTGCCGTTTCTACTGTTCCCCACATCAAAGGTGGGATTCTGAGTTCGCGTGTGTGACGCACTAAGCCTTCGACATAGGTACAAAGTGTCTCTGACTAAGGACGCCACTGTTTCCAAAACCGCTTTACTTATTACTTGATAATCACCAGAAATTCCCTCAAACAGATTGCTCGAGCTGCGGCCCAGAAATTTCGCCTTTGTATATCTTAAGTTTGCACTGATGACTTTAAATTATTCCTATTGGCGATATCAAAATTCTCTATGCACATTCAAATAATTCAGGTGAAACCATCTGAGAATATAATTAGCGGCATTAATACAAATATTCAGTTTCTGTGTAGAGTCAATCCAAATGAAAACACCAAAAATGAATTTAAAAGTGCGCTGCATGATTTTTTATTTTAATGAAAAAATTTTAAGATGATCTTTTAGGTATCATATTTGAAAAACCGTTGCCGTTTTAATTTTTAGTTGCTTTATTTTTAATCGGCACCCTTTAGAAACCTGAAATCGTGTCATTTTCTTACTCTCTTATAAGAGGCTAAAACTTTTTTTCTGTGGCAATTATTGAAATGATTATAATTTTATTTTACTGTCTAGTAACTATGTTTTCAATATTAATTATTATTATCTAATTATTATCTAATTGGTTCATCTCATAAAGATTTGTAATAATTTGCCAATTTTTGTGATTTTTGTCTGGCTCCTGTGCCTATTCTGCTAAATCTAGAAAGTTGCTTTTTTTCAGGTATCAAGTACTTATACAATAGAAAACGTAACTATTATTTTAAGTTTCTAGACTATCATTTTCTTTATTAAAAAAATTATTGAAACTTGATAATTTTCAAAATTAGCCAATTTTGCCCTCAGAAATCATTAGGTTGAGAAAAAAATAAAAAGCTCAAACTTTTAGGAAATGTAGTCCCCACCTTCATCTTCTCAGTCTAGTTAGTCTTGTTTTGTTATTTTTATTCCTTTAAAATATATATTAATTTTTTTAATGCCCGTTTAGTAGCGATATTGTTAGTTTTATTTATAATTTAAAACTTAGATGGCTTTCATGTTTGGTGGAGAAGTGTCAGAACTGTCAAAAATATTTCATAAATATTAAGAATTATCAAGTTTCAATATTTTTTTTAATAAAGAAAATGATAGTCTAGAAACTTAAAATAATAGTTACGTTTTCTATTGTATACAAGTACTTATATATAAGTACTTGATACCTGAAAAAAAATAACTTTCTAGATTTAGCAGAATAGGCACAGGAGCCAGACAAAAATCACAAAAATTGGCAAATTATCATGAATCTTTAGTGGTTTACCATTCTTTTATGAGATTAACTAATTGGATAATAATAATTTATATCGAAAACACGCTTACTGAACAGTAAAAGAACATTAAAATCATTTTAATATTTGTCACAGAAAAAAGTTCTGGTCCACTATAAGAGAGTAAGAAATTGACACGATTTCAGATTTCTAAGGGGTGCCGATTAAAAGTAAAGAATCCAAAAATTAAAACGGTAACGGATTTTCATATTTGATACCTAAAATATCGGATTTTCATATTTGATACCTAAAAGATCATTCTCAATTTTTTTTATCAAAATAAAAAATCAAGCAGCGCACCCCATTTGGTGTTTTTATTTGGAATGACTCTGTAGAGATTATTAATTATATATAGGGATGGGATATTTAGGTACTAAAAACTGAAAAATAGGTAACTAAAAAGGTACTAAGGTACTAGGTTAAAAAAAACAGCATTTTAGGTAAAAAAAAAACATTAAAAGTTCAAGTTTCTTTTATAATTTTTTTTAGCCGCATACCCAAAAACAGAACATACCCACAATAAACTATTTCTATGCAATAAACTGTGTTTCACTGAGTGACACTCACTACACAGAAATTCTATGACAGAACATAAGCTCAATACAAAGAAATACTGTAAAGAAAGTTACTGTTACAGTCTGTGACCCATAGAAATAATTTGGAATAATAGAATAATTTCTATGCTGTGACCATAAGAAAAAATTCTATACCGTTGAGTTGCACGCCCTGGATAAAATATTGGCGGAAAATTTAAAAAGAACACACAAAAATAAAATAAGTAAAAATACGTAAAAATAGATAACAAATATGTGAAAATAAACTGACAAATTAAAAAATATGTTACAAAAGTATAAAAAGGTAGTTTAAAGCAAAAACCTCCAAAAAAGGTAAAAAAGATGAAAACTAGTTAAAAAAATAGGTAAGAAAAGTATAAAAAAGGTTATTTAAAGCAAAAACCTCCAAAAAAGGTAAAAAAGGTGAAAACAAGTTAGGTTCATATAAAAGAAAATCTTTTAAAACACATTTTGGCATTATTGGTTTTCAAATATTTACATCGGTTGAAAAAAGGTAAAATAACTAAAATCCCATCCCTAATTATATATTCTTATTCGTTTTATAAGTTACGGTTTAACATTTTCGTACATATTTCCCCTCATAAACTTAACCTGCACGCTGGTTCGTTCCCCTGCTCCGTATATCTCTAAATCAGAACGTATACATGTATCCCATAAAGTGTAAGCCAGTTTCGGGAAGATGCACACATCCTGGAATAATATTGCCGGATGAACGCTGCTCACGGGATGCCTAAATAACGGTGAAATATGGGCCGTAATAAGGCGCGAATGTAAGAAACAAGAAATCATATTTAATATTGACGCCACTTATCAAAAAGTCCGCCCGGAGTTTGGCCCGCAGTTCCGGCGGCCGTCCGTCATCCCCTTTGCCTCGAAATCACTCGGTCGTCTCCAATATGGAGGCGGCGGTATATTTCGACCTGTCGACGATATTTATTTCGCTGATTTCTTGGCTATGTTTAACGGCCAACACAGGACCGAACCAGAAGATTTCAAAATATTAACGGCAGAAAAATCCTACATATTCACTCGGTTTTTATCATGGATATATTAAAAAAGAACGTGCACAGTATAAAATTTCAGCTACTACTATTCGTACAATAAACTCGTCAGTGTAAATATTATCAAATATAATACACTCTTAGGGGTAAAATCAACACGCACTATTGGTAAAAGAACTCCATTCAAGAGTAGAAAATGCTCAATTTGGTGTAATTTACTACAGGTAGGTGTTAAAAGTGGTGTGGGTTTTAATATTAAACACAGCATGTAATGTAAAATAAAGTATATTTTATATTACTTACAAAAATTTTAAAAAATGATTAACACTACTTAGGTGTAAGTATTCTTATACCCAAGAAGTGTTATTAATTTTTTATTATTGAAAGAAAAGTAGTGATGTTATAAGTTTTTTCCAGTTTGTGAAAAACCATATTTAGCTTATTTAGTTAATTTAGTTATATACATAAGTTAAATATGATTTTAGTAAAAAAACATGTTTTATCACAAACATAAGTTGCATCCACTGTCACATTGCACCACTTCACCAGACCACTGAATTTTAATTTAAAAACCATGGTCTTTAATTAAAATAGTATGCATAGGTACACTACCATCAACTGCACTCGGAATACTGATCGCGCCCTTGCCGTTAGCGAATAGTGATGACTACGTGACTTTTTTTTACCACAATTTGTGTAGCTGCCAACACATAATAGTGTGAAATGTACACCGCGTCGAGTTAATTTTTAAATTAACACTAGATTGACACGGTGCTGTGATAAATGAATTTAAATTATCACAATTTAAAATAAAAACTTAATATTTTTGACCAATTTTAGTGTATATATTGACATCAAATAATTTTACAACTCCATTTGGTAACTTTACACCGAAATATTTTATACACTGTGTCTGTGTGATGTGAACCAACTTGTCACTGTCAACTTAACAATTTTTTTCGTATTCTTGCTTAAAAAGCAATTAAAGATATCGACTTCCATATTAAAATACAATGGTGGTTTGTTCTGCATTCGGTTGTTATATAAATTATACATACAGTAAAAATATAGTAAAAAAATATTTGTTAATTTTAACCAATTTTATGTTAATCCAGGTTCACATAACTTTATAAGTTTATAACCAACTGTAATCTGTTAAAATTGAATAGGTTGTTTGTAATTATAACAAACATTTAGTAGATTTAATAACAAAATCCTTATTTCTATAAACCTTTTTGTAGACCCAGTCAAAAGTATTTGTTTGAAACTGGGAACTTAAATGAAAAGATTTTGATAAGAAATGTACCTTTATTAATCAATTTTCTAAAAAAAATTAATACAAACCTACATAAATGAACACAAAAATAACATACATACAATTAAATAACACACCATTCTAAAATTATTAAATTATATAGAAATTTGGTACAGTATAATTATTAGTACTACTACAACACTTACTGAAGCAGTAATACTGATGTATTTCGTAACTTTAACTTACTTTACTGTATCCCCTAATTTAAGTTTAAAAACCAGTAAGGTCATCATTTTTTGGATACTTCGTACACTCGTTAAATATGTATACATATAGGTATATATACCTTATAAGGAATCCGAATAACAAATTTCTGGTAATATATTATAAACACTCTGGACAGTTGTTACGAACACGTTACGAATTAGAATACAGTAAGCAGAAACATAAGTTGCAGACGCTGAAGTCAGTTGAACTTGTTGATGCGTATTGTCAGTGGGAAATGTTTTGATTGACTGCCTGAAATTACGTGTACTTCTTTAACGTAATAATTTGTTTAACATTAACAAAATAATCTGTAACCTTTGAAAATAACAAAATGCTTACAAAATTGCATATTACCTTTACAAAACTTTCAGTAAAATACACACTTATGTTAACAAATCTAATTTTTATAACAATGGAGGGACAAGAAAGATCTTTCAGCAACGCCATTTTTTGGTTCACTATGATTACGAGTGGACCCGTCCTTGGTTATTACAGATTTTTACACTTGTAGACTAATAAGGATAAATAGCTACCACCATAAACTTGTTTCATCAATTGAAACGTTTCAGTAAAAGTTTTAAACATACTATTTTCATATTTGTCACCTTTTTAACGAAGATACCCATGAACACAACAACCCGCTATCATCATCAATAATTTTGTAAATTGTTTTGAATACGTCCCTGGAATGACAAAAGGACCGGTCCTTACCAGATACGATGAGAAAGTCTAGTTCGCATGAAGTATGGCTGACAAGCGCCCGTTCTTA